AGTGAGTGTTGTCATTACAGAGTTGTGATACTTGTTGCTAGGGGACTGTAACCTTCTCAGGATGAAGCCACACTCCAAAGTTGCTAGTTCTCTCAGCCGTTGTGGACCGGCAGAGATGCACTGTCAGCGGTAGACAGTTTTTAACTAGAGGCTGTTCCTTCACCCAAATTCATAATAGTTCCCCTAAGTGCTTCAATTCAGACAAACATTTCCATTACAGCAGTACTTTTGGTTTGCTCTACCGAAAAACTTCACTTCACGCTGAGGGTGGGATTACCGTATTAAGCTGCTGTAAAGCTCTTCGCCAAATACTGCACAGCTATTAGGTGATATAAAGTATTTTTCTAAAGGATCTAGTAAAGCGAAAGCAGCACAGCTCAGAACTCTATTTCCTCACTGTTTGCATTAACTAGTGACAAAACCTCAGAAACACTGATCGAGCCACTTTCATTCTGGTTCCTTTATAGGAACATCATTGGAGCTGACCCTTCCTTAATTCCACACCCCTTACCAGACGCTCCGGTAACCACCGAGCTTCATTCTCCTCTTGTGAAAAAACACAAACATGTCCTCAACCCCATATTAAAACAGGATCAGGACCCTTTTATAATCCCAAGCAGGGATCTTTCCATTTCGCATTACCCTCAGCTAAAGGACCAGGAAGATTGGAGTGAGCTCTAATATGGCCCACAAAGCATGGCAGCTTTCTTTTGTGGAATAGCATCTTGGATTTGTTGAAACATTTTGACTTGATTGTTGTTAGTTCCAATATTTTAACCAAAACTGTTACTATTCAAAGGAGTCAAGAACACAGATGTTCTTTCATGAAACGTATCCTTCATTAGCTTACTCTGAGAAAAAGCATTTTCAGGATTTAGTATTTTCATTTCATTAGCTTTAACTCCTGATGGTATTAGCAGCTGTGATATTTAGCATTGATTTCTTATAAGGAACTTTCGGGTGAAGCATCTCTTTTTTAAGACAGCTAGATTTTCTGAAGTTTGTTCCCATCTATAAGCAGTCATTTCTTTGAATGCCTGTTTCCTTGTCTCCTTATTAGATTTACAAAGGAATCACTCATTGCAGACTGTTCATTCAAGGCAAAGAACTTCTTAAATTTCAACATGTTTCTTTATATCTAAGACAACGTTCAGTATATAAACTGCTTTCTCTTGTTTTAAGGATTTTAAAGTGGCTTGTTTCCTCTTATAGGTAGCTTTTTGTCTTCCAACTACCATAAAAATTTGCACAGCTATTAGGGTAAATAAGGCATTTTACCAACGGAGCCCCAAACCGCGGAACTTCCGTATCCTTTCAATTTTTCATTGGAACTGATGCTTTTCCTCCTTATTTTCCTCCTTATTCTTTTAAAAGCTGTATTTTAAGTTTACCATGAGCATATTTTCGAGCTTACAAAAGTTTCAGAACAATGTCGCCATCTTTAGCAGAAAAACTACCTTTCCCAGAATGCATTTCCCTTATATTGTCCATAATAATATCAGTCCCATATCAGTCCCTTATATCATTTTCCTTATATCATTTCCCATCAGTCATTTCCCATAGATCTTTTCGGGTCTGAGAGTCAACTGGTTCTTTTACCAGACTTGCTTAGAAATTCTTGTCAGGGAGGTTTGAACAAAGTTTTTTGCTTTTGTAACGGGAGATTTGAACAAGCATTTTACATTTTCAGCTATGGCACGTTGGGAGATTTCTATTCTCTCCTCAACTGGCTTTAACAGGTGTCTCTCCTTCATTTGACACTGGCCCCAAATCAGAACCGCACCTGCCTTGTTAGCCGGCATTGAGGTGGGCATTCCTGATAGCACCTTTCCTCCGGGCTTGTGTTTGTTTTAGCCAGTCAGTGAAAAACAAGATCATGTACAACAGCTTTTCCATAGCTCCTTCAGAAGAGATTTTCTCCCACTAATTTTATTCTCATTTTGTTTGTTCCTTCCTTCCCCAGATGCAGAGCTTCAGGTATCTGTCTGCAGCTCTGTACCTCTGCTAGCTGCCTTTGGAGGTAGGGGCTTCCCCTTCCCCCCTCCCCCAATCTGCCACAGATTCTAGCAGCTTTTCACAGGTCATGCATTTTCTGGGGAGGAATCTGTCCCTTCTGTTTCTTCAGAGTCTTTCTCCCAGACAGTTCCCAGTTTGGTCTCAGTTTATCCCGCTACCCCAGAAACAGTTTCCGACACTACAGTGGTGGCTTTCCCTGCTCCTGAAGGTAGTAGGGCTTTTTGTCTGTTTGTTTTCGGGGTCTGTGTGGTTTGCGTACAGACTGAAAATCTAACAAGGGATTTTTTGCCATTTCTAAACTCCCATTAGGACAGGTGTTTTGTCTCATCAGGCCTTCACTTGGCCCAGTCCCCCAGTGGGTTGGGTTTGCTTGTCTGGGTGCTCAAGGACAGAGCTTATGCCAGAGGCAATCACCCCTTAGGGCCACACTCCCTCATCTCAGGGAGTCAGTTGAAACAAAGCTTTTCTCAAAGAGATGCTTTCTCTGACAGAAAAGAAAACTTTACTCCTGGATAGTTCTGTTCTGCCCTGACTGGGCTCTTTCCCCAGACAGCGTTCTGACTCAGCAGCACAACTGCTTCAGACACAGTTCAGCTTTACTGTTTTCCCAGAAAGGTCCTTACTTTGATAGAAAAGCTTTTTTCTCAGATTTCTTTTTTTTAGCTGTGGACCTATCAACCCGGGACTTGTAGGAAAGCAAGCAACTGTGCCGTTCCCACTGGCTTTAGCTTTGTTCATTGGCAATCTTCCCCTGGGTCCTGCACCTTCCTGCCTCAGCTCTGTGCTCCAGGAAGTTTGCAACTGCAGGAACCCTAGTATCCCCGAAATGCACCCCAACTCAGAGATGCTGGCCAGTCGCCTCTGGGTTTTTGGTCAGAAGCGAGGATACAATGCTAACGGAGTTTGCATTGCTTCAGGGAATCTTTGCATTAGGACTATTAGGAGCACCCTTTCATTCTGAAACGCTCACTCAAACAAAACCTTCGATGCCTCAGCTCGGCTGTAACTGAAAAGCTTGGCTTTTTTGCTTTTCTCAGGTAAGGTTTCCTGCCCTTTGGGGCTCTCTGTAGCTCTTTACCCACACTCTCCCAAGTGTTTCCCTCAGGGTACTAGCTTGAAGAGACAGACAGCTTAGAAGAGGTTTTTAGGAACTTGTCCCTGCCTCCTGCATTGCAAGGAGGATTTTTAAAGCTTGAAAGAGAACTTAGAGAGGTTTTGCTGTCTTAAGAGGTTTGTTGTTTCCCCTTAGAGCTAATCACAGGTGGTCCCCATACTAATATCTTCAGGTGATTCTAATTTTTGCCCTTTTGAGAAAGTTAAAGGCTTTAGTTTTATAAGTTTAAGAGCTTTTGAGAAAGATGAAGGCTTTTTAGAGAGATTTTCCCCCAAAATTTCCAAGGAAAGCTTTATAGTTTAAGAGAAAGATTTTTTTCCCCAAGAGAGAAAGACCAACTTTTCCCAAAACTTCTGAACTTTAAACTTTTTGGCTTTTTATACCCCCATTTTTGCCTCAGGGATAAAACACTTTCTCCTGCCGCTTGGACTTAGCATTTCAGTTGTCCCCAGGACAAAAGCTTCCATAGGAAACTTTTTCTTCCCCATAAGCTCAAAGAAGAGCTTTTTTACTACCTGAAAAGCCCAAAGAAAGATTTTTTCCCCCAGTTTGCGTTCATAGCCCCCAAAGTTAGAAAATTGAAGAGTTTTTCTGTCTAGTTGCCTTATTTTTTCCTACACAATCTTACACTTCTAAGTTTTTCCTACACTATTTTACTACCCTATACCTTATACTTATTTTTCACAGATAAGAAATTGAGAAAGGGATAGAAGATAGAAAATTTTTACAGAAGAGAATTTTGCGCTGCAGCATCGGACATCCTTCCAGTCCGCTTTCCTTTTCTCTCGAGGATAAAACCCCTGCCTCTCAATATATATAAAAAATATATATTTTCCATAACACCGGCATGCCTTATCCACTGGCAGGGCTGACTCAGCACTTTCGCCAAAACTCTGTAAAACTATTATTTTCCTTTATCTTTAGTCCCTATTACTTTGTCTTTATTCCCTGTTCATTTGTCTTTAGTCCCCCTTTTTTGTCCCTTTTTTAGTCCCTCCTTTTTTTTCTTTAGTCCCTTTTTTTTTCTTTTTTCTTTAGTCCCTGTTCATGGCGCCATTCTGTGGGGCGTTTACCCACCACCCCCACAGTTCCCCAGAGTTTTCTTGAGTGCGAGCAGCAGGAAATATTAGATAGAAGGATTTATTGTGGAGAATCTTGCAGAGATAAACAGATAGAAAATAAAGGATAGCCTCGAGAGGGCCTGGAACCTATTCCAACGGCCCCCGACTGTCTCTGCCCCAGGGTTTTTATAGAGACGCCAAGGGGTGGAGCAAAAGATCTCCTCCCCCAGCACAGCCAAGTGCAGACCATCTCAGACACCTGAACTCAGGCCTGTGGTCCTAATCATCCTCTATGGGTAAAGCCACGAGGAACCCGAGAACAGGCTCCCACAAACTAGTCCACAAAGGCTCCCGGTGGCCACTACTCATGAAGCTCTGCTTCCATCCCTCACATCTAATAGCCTCCTGAAAGGTCTCCAGAGCTACAGCAAATATGTAAATTCTGGGAAGTTAATAAGCTGCCTAGGAAAACGTAAGTACTCAAAAGCTGTGTGAGCTGGAGATGACAATTATCTCTATTGTTTTAGCTTGTATTTTAAACTGAAAATTAAATACTGGTTTATCATAATTTACTCTGTTTAGGTTACCCAAGTCAAAAAGGCAAAAGATGAAATGGGGCAGGATGAGGAGCTCTGCTTAGAAGAAATGATGTCTGTACAGTATTTCACCATCACAAATGTTCTGTAGGCCCTGGAGTATACAACAGGAGCTACTTTGAACAGGGTAACAGTCACATTAAAGATAATTTAGAGAAAGAAAAAAACAGGAATAAAGGTAGCATATGACATGTGCTTCACACACTGACTTACCATCTGTTCCTGAACATCCCTCTTTGCTTGAGAAAAGCTCTGTTGTAACTCTTCAAGTAAAACCTCGGAAGCTTGAGCTCTTAGGACAAGTGAAGATATCTGAATAGAAGATGTGCACATGAAAATGCAGTTACAAATTGGTTATCTGAAGCTAACCCTGAATCCCATTACTCCACAGCAAATCCATGGGAACCATTCATCTTTCATTCAACCAATGTGTGCACTTGCTATATGGCAAGACTCTTGGGTACCTTTGTGCATTAGCAAAGGTTAAGTCACATGCTGACTCATATCAACAAACAGTAGTAACTGGTTCTGAGACTGATGAGAACCCACATGACCTAGTTAAAGATGCATTATTAAGAAGCTTTAAAAAATTAAATTAAATTAAACAAAACAAAACTAGAAGCCTAGGGCTGGAGTAAAGGCACGGCAGATAAAGGAACTTGCTGCTAAGCCTGATGACCTGAGTTTGCTCCTCACAACCCATCTGGTGGAAGAAAGAACTGATTCCTGCAAGTTGTCCTCTGATCTCCACACAGGTGCCATGGCTATACATATACATATACATATACATATACATATACATATACATATACATATACATATACATATACATATACATATACATATACATATACATATACATATACATATACACATGAATGGCGTGTGTGTGTGTGTGTGTGTGTGTATGTGTGTACTTGTGCATGCGCACGCACACAAGTAAATATATTTCTTTAAAATGAAGGAAGGAGAGGAAGAGAGGAAACAGCACACCTTTAAAGGATAAATGAATCCTTTCTGAGTTGGTTACAATCTTCTAAAGTAGATACTAAAGAGTGATTAATATCACTTAACTCTCAACTGTTTTGGATTAGTGTTAATATTCCTGGGGAGGGAATTATTGAAAACTGATCATTCACACACAAAAACTTACAAAAATAATTTTGTCTAGGCAAAAAAAAAAAAAGTTAGAATTTTGTTTCTAGCTAGGCAGTGGTGGCGCACGCCTTTAATCCCAGTACTCGAGAGGTAGAGGTAGACAGATCTCTGTGAGTTCGAGGCCAGCCTGGTCTATGGCCTGGTATACAGAACAAGTTTCAGGACAGCCAGGGCTACACAGAGAAATCCTATCTCAAAAAACAAAACCAAACAACAACAACGACAAAAAAAAATTTTTTTGTGGGGCTGGTGAGATGGCTCAGAGATTAAGAGCACTGGCTGCTCTTTCAGAGGACCTAGGTTCAATTCCCAACACCCACGTGGCAGCTCACAACTGTCTCTAACTCCAGTTTCAGGGGATCTGACACCCTCACACCAATGCACATTAAATTAAATTAATTACTTTTTTTAAAAAAGAATTTTGTTTCTAATAATGACAGATTAGGTGATGTGAACAAAACTACTGAAAATTGGGCTGTATAAAAATATAAGATGTATCTTTTCAAAAGATTTTAGTTGTATTTTTACTTATGTGCATATGTGTATGTCTGAGTTTAGGTTTGTGCATGTGAGTGCAGTATCTGTAAAGGCCAGAAGAGAGCATCAGATCTTTTGGAGCTGGAGTTAGAGGCAACTGTAGGTGGCCAGACAAGGATGCTGGAAACCTAATTTAGGTCCTCTACAAGAGCAGTATATGTTCTTAACCTCTGAAGCGATCTCGCCACCCCCAAAACTCTTATCTCCTTGAAGGCACTGGACAACTAATAAATACACAGGACAGGGCATAGTGTTTGAAGCAGCTCTCTAAAAGTACCAATTCTAAATAAACAGCTGTGACACAGAGAGCAGGGCAGGGCATCTGAGAGCCAAATAGGATGGCAAAATAAGAAATCCAGGATGCACCAAGAAAATACCTGGTAAACTAGAGCCACAAGGACCACATTCTTGGGGAAATGAATACTTTTAATAATCTAACCTTCCAAACTTTATACAATCTCAGTTCCTGTAACTGCATAAAATGATGCAGCACTGTGAGTATCACTAGTTACCTGCCTCTCATAAAGAAATGCCCTTGAACTTCTGATCTTATCTCAACCTCCCAAGTGCTGGGATTAGAGGGATGTACGACCACACCTGTGGTGCCAAGGAATGAGCCAAGGGCCTCATGCATGCTAGGCAAGCACTCTACCCACTTAGTACATCCCCAACCCAGTGCATTCATTATTTATTTTTAATAGACTATACAGCATTCAACACAAATACACAAGGAAATGGCTTTTTAAAAAACCAGGCAATAGATATAGGTCTTCAATGAGTCCAGATACATGAGCTATTAGCTACTAAATAGACTTATTCAAAGGCCTAAATGACAAAATTTGGAATTATCAGAGAACTAGGGATAATGAATAATAGCCAATATTAAATAATAAACTGGAAAAAAATCAATTACCTAAGCTAAAAATACAGTCGTTTTACAGAGAAGAGTAAACATTTAAAGAAAAACTAGTCAACTAAAAGATGGATTTGAAGAAAAAAAAGACAAAATATGGAAAATACATTTATGAAATTCTCAAGAATAAAAAGTATTTTAAAAAACTATAAAATTAAAAAAGAAAAGCATACAGAAGCACAGATGTCTAACAACACATAAATATTTGAACAACTAATGGCCAGCAGAAATAGCTAGAAGAACTGAAGGGTGAGTCGATCAAACAACCTCCCAATCTCTCTCACCATTTCTCCCTGTGCTCAAGAAAAGTCAGTCCATGTATCCACCAATAGACATATACAAAAATCTTCATAGAAAATTCACCCTTGTCAAATATTAGAAACACCTAAGCATCTCTCAACTGTTGTTTGGATAAATAGTGATGTGGCTAAAAACAATTTTTGCCAGGAATGGTAATGCATGCCTTTAATCCCAGCACTTTGGAGGTAGAAACAGGTGGATCTCTTGAGTTCAAGGTCAGTGTGGTCTACATAATGAGTTCCAGGACAGGCAGGGCTATGTAGAGAGACCCTGTCTCAATAAGAAGAGGATGAGGACGAAGAAGAAGTGGGAACCAGGACTGAACTCAGGCTTAGTGGTAAACACCCTTACCCACTGAGCCAACTTGCCAGCCCTTGTTTTGGTTTTTGAGACAAGGTCTCAAACAGCCAGATTAGTCTCCAATTCCATAACTAAGAATGGCCTTGAACTTCTAACCTTCTTGCCCCTACCTCCCAAGTGATGAGATTGAGGAACCCAGGCCCCTGCCTGGACCCCTGCCTTGGCTATTCTGCAGCCATGACAGGCTATGAAAAAGACCTAACAGGTCTTCACAGCATGATGTGCCCTTGAGCTCTAGCTCTAGTTACAGGAAAACCCCACTAGATGTCCCAATATAGTAGAAGAAGCCAATTAAAGTTACAGCTAGCTGGTTCATGATAAAGAAAAAAAACGTAGTAACCATAGCAACCGCTGAAAGAGATAATAGTTTTCTTGCTAAAAATACAGTCGTTTTACAGAGAAGAGTAAACATTTAAAGAAAAACTAGTCAACTAAAAGATGGATTTGAAGAAAAAAAGACAAAATATGGAAAATACATTTATGAAATTCTCAAGAATAAAAAGTATTTTAAAAAACTATAAAATTAAAAAAGAAAAGCATACAGAAGCACAGGACAGCACCTCCAGATGGGAGGTACATCAATCCTGAGTCTGTTCCTATGTAGTCTGTAGACCCCAAACCCCCGCATGCTTTACTCCCTATAAATATCCTGCCCCCTTGCTACTCAGGGTCTCTTCTGCTCTGTTGCTGTGTCAAATGGACAAAGAGGCCCGGGTCAACTCGCAACAGTAAAAAGACTCTGCTTTTGCATCAGATTTGGTCTCTTGGTGGTCTTTGGGGGGCTCTGGGTACAACAGAGATAAGAGCTATGTACCATCACCCCCAGTTTATATAGGGCTAGGGATCAAAGCCAGTGGTTAATAAATACTAGATAAGCACTCTACCAACTGAGCTACATTCCCAGCCAGCAATTCCTAACTTCTTGTTAGTGAGGCTCTTGTGCACCAAGGAAAACAAAGGAAACACAAAAAAGAAAAATCAGATCCTTCAGACCCTTAGAAATGCATTAAATACATTAACTGATTATTTCAAAGGAAAACCCATGATAACAAGCTGCTGGAGAGATGGCTCAGCAGTTAAGAAACTTGTTGCTCTTGAAGAGGACCTCGGTTTGGTTCCAGCACACACATGGTGGCTTACAACTATCCATTTAACTCCAATTTCAGGGTATCCCTTTCTTCTGACCTTAAGGGGACCAAGCATGCAAGTGGTGCACATACATACATGTAGACAATACACTCCTACACATTTAAAAATATAAGTTCTTTTTTAAAAAACAGCACAGAGAGATCAGTAAACACTTTTTGTCTCAAGAGAAAATAAAACTGCCAAATCTTCAAAGCAAAAGAAATAAAATAACTACTCTTTGAAGTTTTAAATGTAATTTTAACAATCGAGTCATCTCTCGGGCATCACTCACTTGGTGGCTTGAGTCCTCAGAGCTCTGCTTGATAAAGTCCTCTAGCTCCTGTTTCTCTTTCATCGTCTTCTCTAGCTGGTCATTAGCTTGCCTTAGCATTACCTGCAGTTTCTTCACCTATAGAATTTAAAAAGTCAACAAGAAGGAAGCAGTGGGGTTTTTACTGTAGTTGTTTACAGCGGCACTAGGAGTTCATTCCAGGGCCTCATGCATGCCAGGCAATGGCTGGACTGTGCTATACCCACAGCCCACAACTTTTGTGTAAGTTAAAAATAAATAACTCCAAAAAATTTTTGGAGAAGTACCATAGATTTGTCAATTCAGAAAGAAATGAACAACATCAAGAACTACATTATGCTTTACAGTTAGCAACAGCTTTTCACATACATAATCTCATTTGAAAACCTCTTTTCTGTTAGGCCCTCCAGGATCTAGAGTTGGCCTCCCTAACTCCTCTATCCCCTGCCTCTGATCTACAATTCACATGAACCCTATAAATTTTATAAAAGTGGAATTACAACGATTTTCCCACTTAAAAGCAATAATGCCTCCAAAGTTGCCAGGCTTAAACTTAATCTCCCCTGATTATCACCTCCCCTCACTGGTCTATCTGGCCTTCCTTTGCAACTCCTTCTCCCACTAGTTTATAAACTCCCACACCAGTCATGTGTCCTGGAACATATTCTCTCACAACTCTGCACATTTCCCCTCCTTAAATAGACTTTCTCCTTCTCTAGTTCTCCTAATTTGAAAGCAGGCTGTAAAACAAGCAACACAATGCTGCCTCTCCTGAGCCTACAACTAAGCTGCAAACCCTCCTCTAATGTAGATGTTCATCTCTAGGAACCAGCTAGACTGAACTTATGTTTTGGTTTGTAAAGCTGAAAGCTCCTTATGGGTCAAAACCATCTTTCAGCTGTATCTGAATTGCTAGGATCCAGCAAAATACCAGGCACACAAGAAGCATTAATAAAAGTCTATAGAAATAATTAAGGAATCCAAGATAGCCCTTTTCCACGTCAGGCTATCAGAGGCCAATATATTATCTTAGTTTTATAAGTAGCTTGAAAATTTCACCTGTAAACTATCAAAAAAGACTACAGTGACATTTGAGAATATGAGATCATCATTCTAACCTCCTTCAAATTCTGATGACAAAGGCAGTAAATAATCTTCATAACAACCAAAGAAAAATATTCTTTTTTTCCTGACATGCTTTCACAAGGCCTACTCTTGTTAAATTCTATATGGTTTCCTAAGTGTTACCAATGTCATACTATTCTACTTTGTATTTGGAAAAGAACTTTACCCTCAAGTTCAGCAGTCCAAACCTGCAGAAGCTTAACTTCTATGCCCTATGAATTACCATTAATCAAGTCAACAAATTTACAACAAATAGGCAATAAGCAAAGAGTTCAAATTCTGGCCACCATGACATCCAGCTAGCTTTTACTCTGTCAGAGACCACAGTAAATCTTACCTCCCTAATCTCTGTACCATGACGTATACTATGGGTGAGATCAGGCCAGCATCAAGTTTAGGTGTTGGGGCTTTGGGTGACAGGGTGCAGAGAAAGGAGCTAAGGTGCTGTTAGCACATCTGAGAGCTGAGTTGGCTGATATGGTGTTGGCATGCTAATGAAGCATGAATATCCAGAGTCCTAGTGGGCTCTCACTGAAAATCAGCTGCCATTGTATGTGCTAGATTATTCCATCACCAGAGAGAGACACTCCATAAAGCAGATGGGGGTGGGGGGAAAAGACAACTCTGTGCCTCTAATGAAACTCACCTGGTCTCTTGTTTCAGCTTCCTGAATCTGAATTCCTTGTAACTGTTTTTCATAATTGGAACACATATCACAACGTCTACCAAGCTTATTTCCAGCATTATGTACCTGAAGGGCACCAAAATTACCACTTATCAGGCAGAACAAAATAATTCTATGTCTCATACTTGAGGAATGAATGCACACTCTTACCAATGTTACTAAGTGAATAGCAGAGTAAATACTTCAGAGATTTACAGGAAGAACTTACAGAGTCAGATTCCAAAAGTCATAACCTCCAGTACAAGTATGGTAGGAAAACAAGGGACACAACTTATCACCAAGGGCCACAAAACATCACATTTGAAGAACACACAAAACAAGCAAAAGGGCTACGCCATGCACTCAATGCTCTCTACCCAATGGGAAGAAGAAAAGAAAGGCAGTGCTGATTCCCCCATGGCCGGCTCCAGTGACACACTGGGTACACCACCAGTAAGTAGCATGTTCATTACATGTCCTGCATCCCTCAAGGACAGTGGCTTATTTAGGGTTAGCAGCCTGCTCCACGTACTCACTGAGTGCTTCTTTAAAGAGAAGTAGCCCTGAGTAGGGAAAGCACGAGTGTCAGAAAACCTCGATTCTAACCCAGATTTCACTTGATCTTTCTGAGACAGTTTCTTCATCTGTAACTGGGAACAGTTATGACCTGACTGCCTCATTATAATCATAAAGCTCAAAGAGACGAGGTATGTGAAAAGGCTTGGAAATCTGTAAAGCACTGTGCAAATACAACTTACACCTCCCCGTCATCCCCCCACCCCAACACAGGGTTTCTCTGTGTAGTTTTGGAGCCTGTCCTGAAACTCGCTCTGTAGACCAGGCTGGCCTTGAACTCACAGAGCTCTGCCTGCATCTGCCTCTTAAGTGCTGGGATTAAAGGCATGTGCCACCACCAGCTGACACAACTTACATTCTTATAAAACCTAATCTTTTAAGTTTGAAAATACTTTAAGGAAAATTACCCTTCATCGAGGCTGCCTTTTTTTCTCTTCCATATTTCCCAATCCTCCTTAAACCCACTCTCTGTATCAAGTTCTTAACCACTTTTGCATTTTAGAACTAAAGAAAAAATGAGTAAGTGAATCACGGCATACACTCAGCTTCAGTAAACTAAAAGCCCAAATTCAGGCTGCTCTAACTATGATGCTTGTTAACACCACTGGCCAGCCAGCTTTTTGTGACTGTCATATAGAAGAGACAAGGCAGACTTGACAAGGGTGGGTGTGTGCTAACACATACTTGCTAGCAGCACATGCCTGCACTGACTCCAGGAACTATCTACTGAATCAATAATTAATGCCAAAGTTACCTAATCCCTCCAGAGTTCCGGAGAGCAAGCTGTGGTGGCATACACCTATAATCCCAGCACTGGAGAGGTACAGACAGGAAATCAAGAGTCATCCTCTGAATTTCAAGGTCATCTTCACTATATAATAAATTGGAGGTTAACTTGGGCTACATGAAACTTTGTCTCGAAACAAAAAGAGAACAAAAGAAACAAGATCAGAATAGCTCACCTCTTTCTGCAGGAGATTCCATTCAGTCTCACTCACTAAGCGGTAACCACTGGGAGATACATATGCACTCTCCATACCCTGGGTGACACTAGAGAGGAGGGATGCTGTTTCCTCCTGTTCAGGTGTCATTGCCTTAATTGCTCTTTCTTGATCTTTGGTTAACATAAATCCACTTGGCATCTGCAGTGACCCAAGCGACACAGTATCAAAGTTCTCAGACACAGAATCTGCTCCAACCAGTGGTCCAAAATCCGACTCATCCAAGTTTCCAGCAGACTTTGCTTTGTAGTTATAGCCCAATGCTTTTGATTGCAATGAGCTTGAGGTTCCCAAGCTGTCTGTAGACTGAGCTCTCCGGAGTCCATCTTTAAACATGTCATTGTCTGATTTACTGAATGGATCTCCAGATGGTAACAGCAAGTCTGCATCTAAGGAATGAACTGACCCATGGGTGCTGTCTAAATGCTCCTGAAATGTAAAAACATATATTTTCAAGTTAGATAATTCTCTGAACCCCAAAAGAGAAAAGCTATCATGTACTATATATATTTTGTCACACATTACACATAATCATTATTTTGCTGCCTAGACATAATCATTGAACAACTATTTATCAAATAAATTTCTTTGTATGTTGGGTATTACTCAGGCACAGGTTAGATTCGTAAACAAAATACAACTTCTAATTTTAAGATATGTATAGTTTCTTGAGAAAAAGTAAATGGGCTCTCACAATACTATATGTAATGACAAAAGATAGAGGTGAGCTCCATGCTCTGGAACATCTGTGTTGTGAAATATTATTTAACTAGGCAAAGATGTGTTACATTTGTTTTTGCTACAGAATATTTAACTGTGTAAAGGTGTGTTACTTTTGTTTTAACTATGTAAAGACGTGTTGCATTTGTTTCACATTGTCTGCCTAAGGCACCTGATTAGTCTAATAAAGAGCTGAACGGCCAATAGCTAGGCAGAAAAAGAATAGGCAGGGCTGGCAGGCAGAGAGAATAAACTGGAAGAACAATCTAGGTTCCAGAGAGAAGAGACGAATGAGGGAAGAAGAGAGGAGAGGATGAGGGAGATGCAAATGCAGACTAGTGCTACTGTACAATTCAATCACAGAGTGAGAGTAACAATAACAAGAAGAGGCTAGGCAGTGTTGGCGCACACACCTTTAATCCCAGCACTTGGGAGGCAGAGGCTGGAGGATCTCTGAGTTCCAGACCAGCCAGGGTTCACAAAGAAACCCTGTCTCAAAAAATAAAAAATAAATAACAGGGAGAGTCAGCACCATGGTTCAGCAGTTAAAGGTGCTTGCTTCTTGAAACTGGATAACCTGAGTTCAGGACCCACATGGACAAAACCAACTCAGAAAGTTGGCCTCTCACTTCTAGATGTATGATGCGCGCACGCGCGCGTGCACACAATGTCAAAATAATTAAAGAATAAAAAATGTAGTGAGTTTTTTTGAAATTATATTCCATTTAAATGACTATTCTTGGGCTGAAGAGGTGGGGCTCAGTGGTTAAGACCACTGTCTACTCTTGCACAGGACCTAGGTTTGGTTCCCATCACCTACATGATGGCTCACAACCACTTGCAACTCCAGTTCCAGGAAATTCAATGCCCTCTGCTCACCTATACAGGTGCCTGCACACATGTGGTTTGTATGCTATATTTAGGCACACACACATAAAATAAACAAATCTTTTTTTTAAAGATTAAAATGACAGCCAGGCATGGTGGTGCATGCCTTTAACTCCAGCACTCAGGAGGCAGGCACAGAAGGATCTCTTTGAGTTTGAGGCCAGCCTGGTCTACAAAGCGAGTTCCAAGACAGCTAGGGCTATTACAGAAAGAAATTCTGTCTCGGAAAACAAACAAACAAAAATGATTAAAATGACAATGATTTCTTTTAATTAATTAGTTATTTAAATTTTTTGTGCATTGGAGCTGGAGTTGCAGACAGCTGTGAGCTGCCAGTGGGTGCTGGGACTTGAACTTGGATCCTCTAGAAGAAGAGCCAGTGCTATCAACTGCTAAGCCATCTCTCCAGTCCCAACAGTTCTTTAAAATAATGTCATACCCCCACTTTTTAAAATAGTCTCATTATGTAGCTTCAACTGACCTGAAACTCACAAAGATCTATCTAACCCTGCTTCCAAGTGCCAGAGTTAAAGGCATTGTGCCACCATGTTAGACCGACTTTTTGTTTTAAATATCCTTTTATGGACCAACTAGAAGAGACTGAGGAATACATAAGTTGATTTCATTTGTTTTTATTTTCAAGTGTTTTAAAACTATTATCTGCCTTTAATCCCAGCACTCAGGAGGCAGAGCCAGGCGGATCTCTGTGAGTTCGAGGCCAGCCTGGGCTACCAAGTGAGTTCCAGGAAAGGCGTAAAGCTACACAGAGAAACCCTGTCAAACCCTGTCTGGGGGGGGGGGGGGGGGGGACACGGGACGACAAACTATTATCTGGTGTAATTTTTTTTCTAATTTCTATTTCTTTCCTTTCAAATATTTTCAGTCATCTGAAATTCAAACTGCTGGGAAAATAAACCTAATTTAATTAAGCTAATGATGGCAAATGTCCCAAAAAAAAAACTAGACCACGAATCCATTCTGTAAGCTTACAAAATGAAAATAAACTAAAAAATCCTAACATCAGGGCTGGAGAGATGGCTCAGCAGTTAGGAGCACAGGCTGCTCTTCCAGAGGACCCAAGTTTGATCCCCAGCACCCACATGTTGGCTCACAAACATATTTAAACTCTAGTCCCAGAGGAATCCAACACTTCACACACATGGTGTATAGATACTCATGCAGGCAAAACACACATAATACACAAAATAATATAATAAATTTAATTCAAAAAACTCAACTACTGTGATCACATATATTGAAGTGACATGAAGACAGTGGGGAAAAGAAAGATCAGCTGTGATGGCCACTTAAAGAACTACTAGTCTATCACCTTAGCAAAAGCTTGAGAAATACGAACAGCTAAGGAAGTGAAAACTGTTCCTGGCCACCAAGACAGCTCCACTTTTTTTTTTTTTCAGCTCCACTTTTATAGGCACTTTCCACTAAGTCTGATGATCTGAGCTTTACCTCAAACCACATGGTAGAGGAAGAGAACTCAATTTCACAAGTTGCCTCGTAGCTCCACAAATGTGCCATGACACATATGCTCCCACCAGGATAAATAATAAATACAAAAACAAAAGACTCGTCTGTGGTCTTTCTAATATTTGATTCTACAATATTTTACATTACCTTAAAAACGTTAATGCCTTTAAACTTATCTATTCTTTTTCTAAGGACTTAAATAATGAGATACATTACAGTGATTTGTGCAAGGAAAATTATATATAATAGCATTACAGCATTATTTAATGAAAACATTTACGGCAGCAAAAAAGATAACCAATTTGGTAAGTGGTATATTAGTCATGTTTGTATTCCACAGGAGAGATGATACATACATCCTACTGCCTGCTTGGAGACAGTCCTCACATGTAAAACTGGACAATCTCAAATCCATACCCCAACTACTCCTTTATCCAGTTTTCACCAAGCCATTATTTCCCCTGCCCCAGATCACCCAGGAACAGGTAGGTCCCAAACAACCCATCAAGTTCCTATGGCCCAAAGGCTGCCAGAATTATTCAAACTGGCCGGTCCTGAGTTTCTCCCTGTGCTTGCAAGGCAAGCTATGGCTCTCATTTCTAGGAGAACCATGAGCTGGGAATGCATATCAGTGGTACAACACTTGTTTAAAGCATACTAGACCTGAGGGAAAAGACAGAAAAGTTAAAAGCAGGTTGTTCCAAAGGTACCGACCACTTCATGCTGTCAGGCACCTCATAAATTAAAACCTGGCAACAAAGTAGTAGGAAAATGGCCAAAGGGATTATAGTACATTTACATATTAAAATTTTATTGCATGGATTAAAAAAATTTAAGGGTGCCAAAACCTTAAAGTAGATTTAACCAAGGAGGAACATTCATAAGCATGTAGTCACTATGTAGAGTATGTGTGCAAAGTACCAGTCAGGCATGATGTCACATGCCTGTAATTCCAACGCAAGGAAGACAGAGGCAGAAAGCTCAGAAGCTCAAGGTCAGCCTGGAATACATAAAGTCTGTCTTAAACAAAATAAAGGAAAGCAAACAAACAAAACAAATGGGAACATATTTATGCTATCTTTGGAAAAGGAAACAGAAAAAAGGAGAATGACACATGCCAAAACATTAAGAGACAGTTTTCTCTGGGTAGTCAAAACAATTATTTTTATTTGTATGGCCCCTCCTGTACTTCAGAAATGCTCCATAATATTTTCTATTACTTTCATAGTGAAAAAGCATAATCTAAGTACCAAAATAAAGATGACATGGGAGTGCTCAAAAATATTAAATGTCCTTAGCAATAAATCTAAGTCTCCAAAGCATTCCATATTAATTTTAATTTACCAGCCAAATTAAATTACCATGATTCTGAACATAAAACAATTATATTCAACACTGAAAATGCAAAACATCAGGTCTGAAAGTTGAAAATACACATACACATGGTGGAGGTGACAGTTGTTACTACCAAGAACTAAACCTAGGACCTCATGCATGCTGGTCAACATTCTGCCATGGAGCTGCATCCTCCAGCAGAAAGTCTAAAATATACTTTAAAGGCTGGGAAATGATATGCACAGTATGAGAAAGCTGTTAAAAAAAGAAGCAAAAATAACAGAAATACTTCTTTATAAATCACAAATTCTCCTTTCCTGTTTTCTAAACATTCCCAGATAGATTACTGCATCATGCAAATGCCATGTAATATCTGAACAAAAAGATAGAGACATTCTTTTGAGAGTCTAAGTATTTAAAAAAAATGCAGAGTAGAACTGTCAGTCGGTCCTTAGTGTGTGCTCCAAAACAAACAAAAAAATGTACAAAAACAAGGGCATCATACTTTTCAGTGTCTGTTAGATTTAAAAAAAAAAGAAACTAATGTCAAGCTATCAATAAAGATGAAAATATAAGCCACCAGGAACTGTACTATACATGGTTCAGAGTAAATCTATAAACTAAACAGAAACAACAGACCTGTTAGGAATATGTATTCAACTTAACTGTAACTGTTCACCAGCTGGGAAAGGAGGTGAAAGTTAGGCAAGTGTGTATGACTGAACTCCCCACCTTTCCAATGCTGGAGATCAAACTAGGGCCTTACACATGTTAAGCAAGTACTCTACTACTGAACTGTAGCTATGGACCTTGTAAGTATGAAATCATAAGCAACAAGGATAGCATAAACAACACTTTTTTTTAAAGATTTATTTATTTATTATGTATACGGAAGAGGGCGCCAGATCTCATTACAGATGGTTGTCAGCCACCATGTGGGTGCTGGGAATTGAACTCAGGACCTCTGGAAGAGCAGTCGGTGCTCTTAACCTCTGAGCCATCTCTCCAGCCCAGCATAAACAACACTTACAGGTATGGACCACAAGCAGCCAGGCCTAACTGTGATGAAGTAAGAACAAGAGGAAAGCGTGAAGGGCCATTCAACTGGGAAAGGAGGGTCCTTATTTTGATTCCAAAGGCATTAGATACAAAAGTATTTCCTTTACTAAAGAAAGGATGAGTATTAGGAGACTCTGGCCCAGAGAGATAGCCCAAAGACCTAATTTTGATTCCCAGGTCCCACAAGATGGGAGGAAAAACAGTCCTGACCTCCATATGCATTCTGAGTGCCCCCCACCCCACCCCACTCCATATACTAAAATAAAAATGTTTGCTTATTTGTTTTAAAGAAAATCCTTCTTGGAGCTAAAAAGATGGCCCAATGGTTAAAAATACTTGCTGCTCTTACAGAGGATGTGAGTTTCAATAGTCTATGTAAAGAATCTCCACTCAATGATGTAGGTTATGGTATTCAGTGGTGGTTTTGCATACAAGAGTGGTCTGACCACAACCACACTAAAGGAAGAAAAATGGACAGTAATGCTGAGGGTACAGTAGAGTACGAGAAATCAAAGGCAGGAAGTCAGTGCAGAGGCCCTTCCCGTACTATAGGTATGAGATGACAGACCACAGGCACAACATCTGACATACTACATCCCGACGCTTGCACTCTTCCTCGAAGCTTCAATGCGATCTGCCAAACTGTACCTTCTATTTCAGAACTGAAGCCCTAATGCTAGAGCTGAACAGGTGGCAAGCTTCTGTAATCAATTCCAATGTTCAGGAAGCTGAGGAAGGAGTAACCTTGAGAGCAAGATCAGCCTGGGCTACATACCAAGACTCTGTCGTCCCCCCACCAAAAAAAACCAAGTATTTAGCAATATGTATAATTCACATTAAAAACAGACATCAGGGGCTGGAGATATGGCTCTACAGTTAAGAGCACTGACTGCTATTCCATGTGGGTTTGATTCCCAGCATCCACTGGGATGTCTCAACCATCTGTAATTCTAGTCCCAGGAATCTGAGGCCCTCCTTTGGCCTCTGTGAGCACTACATGCAACATGGCGCATAGACGTACATGCAGGCAAAAAACACCTATGTTTAAATATATATGTATATATGTGTATGTAATATATATGTACACATATACACACATATATATGTATCCATATATATACCAAATCTTTTTTTAAAAAGACATCAGGTGACTTTGAAAAGCTCACACTTGAATGTGTCTTATCCTTTTCCCTGACTCTTTTCTATTAACTCTGGACTTAAATTTGTTATTCTAATAATTTTTTAAGCTGGACAGTGGTGCATGACTTTAATTCCAGCTCTCAGGAGGCAGAGGCAGGCAGATCTCTGTGAGATTAAGGCCAGTCTGGTCTACGGAGTGAGTTCCAGAACAGTCAGAGCTAACCAGAGAAACCCTGTCTTGAAAAACCAAAATAATAATTATAATAATCTTCAATAAACCCTCAATTCTGCTTCAAAACAAAACAAAAACCTTTTCATTTAAAGACTTGTTCTAATGTATGACATTTTGGAACTACCAGTAAAGGAATATCTACTAATTTTAAAGGGTGAATGAAACTTCAGTATGTTTTCAAATAGTGTTATAATATTGCAAGAGTAACTAAGAACAAAGTTACCATTTTATCTCATTTTCACTTACGTAGTTTCCACATAAACAAGGTGTCCTGGTTAGTTTTTTTCAAGTTGAAACAAGTAGAGTCACTTGGGAAGAGGGACCCTCAATTAAAAAAAAAAAAATACTCTCACCAGAGCATTGGCCTGTGGCAAGCTTGAGGAACATGTTAGGGATTAATGTGCAGAGCTCAACCCACTGTGGGCTGTGTCAACCCTGGACAGGTGGTCCTGGGGTGCAAGCCAGTGGCTGCATTCTTCCATGGCCTCTGCATGAGTTTCTGCTCTAACTTCCCTCTGTGATGGAGTATGACCCGAGTATTGTAAACTAAAGAACTTTCCTTTCCAAGTTGCTTTTGGTCATGGTGTTTAATCACAATGATCAATATCCTTACTAATATACAAGGTAACTGACTGACATAGAAAAAAACTAAAAATTATAACATTACGTATAAAATTTTTCGAAATACTTTTGAGTCTTGGGCTCCAGAAAGCCTCTCATCTCAGCCTCTCCCATCCACCATATAAAACAGCTGTAGTCATAAATTCACCATACCTCTTCATTTGATAAGGGTGTTGAAGATTCTTCTTGAGTTAAAGCACATACTACTGGTATTTTTACATCTTCTTCAGTATCTGTTTTTTTGTTATCTTTTCTCTTATTAAGCCTTTGTTGTTCATCCTCCTGCTAAAAGTTAGAAAAAAAGAGCATTATTTAGCTACCTAGGTAATCTATATGTAAGAGTCATACAGTTCTTCAACCACTCAAAACAAGAACAGAGATCTTTATGAGAACAGAAAATTAGACACAAGATTATTTGTTCTTAATCAGTATATAACCTCACCATTTTACTACTATAAACACAAAGTAAGAAAATCAGGAAGCAACTTTTTAAAAAGCACACTACAAAAGTAAGGCAAACAAAAGAAAAGCAACACCCTGCTCCTGATCATCCAAAACAGGAAAACTACATAGAACAATCCCATCTCACTACAGAAAACAGAAAAAGTTAGTCTGACATCACACTCCCATTCAAAACATGTACAACTGCTGGTACTACTGATAATGGCGGTAAGCCCAGCAATTTGGAGGCTAAGGTAGAGGCACAAATTCAAGGCCAGGTTGGGCTACATAGTGAGACCCTATCTCATAAAACTTAAAAGAGAGAGAGAAGAAAGAGGGAAGAGAGGGGAGGGGAAAGACAGGAAAAAGGAGATTAATATAAAATACGAAAGGATGATCAAATTCCAAGTAACAATTCACTCAGCAAAGATGACTTTATCTTTTCTGTCTAGTGAGGAACAAATATAATTACAAGCACACACAGAATACTGCAAGAGAAAGAAATCACGGACTGGATGCATTTAAGGCAGCCAGCAAAGGGGACCCAAAGGTTGTAATCTTGAAAGACAGTAAGACGTATTTGCCAGGTAAGAAAGAGAAGATCACTAAGGGCTCCAGGAGAAATGAGGCATTTGCAAAACAGAAGGCTGACAAGACTCACACGTGGTGAGTGCATGACAAGTGAAGGCAGGAACAAACAGGAGGGTGATTAAGTAATTAAACTCTGGGCTGAACTGCCCCAACCTGGGCACCGCCATCACCTCTGCCTGCTTCCTACTCTACAACACAGGGATGGCTCTGTAATGCCTCCTCAGGGAGAGGAGGCATTTTGTTTGCTGGGAAACGCTGGAGATGCAGCGTTATAAAGCCTTAGCACAATGCTAACACAACAAATATTAATAAAGGCTTCAACAATCATCTTCAAAGTAAAAGACTGTTTTAATGAGATAAAAATCTATACTTTATGAATTAAAAGAAAAAGATTTAAAATTGAAAACTGAGAAACAAAATCTAACCTAAGTCACATACAGCAAATTAAAATATTTTAATACCTAGAAAAGTGGAGAATACTTTTGCACAGCTATCCTGGGGAAACACTGAAATTTCTCAGAAATATGTACTGCTGCATCTTTCAGTCTCCAAAGAGGGTTATTTCTAAATCAGTTTCTTCCCAGGATGAGATAATTTATAAAGTTGAGCTGAGTCTTGCTATCTCATACTCATTACTCTAACTACAGACCCAAGTGCTGGGATTAAAAGTATGTGTTACCAGATCTGGTTGGCTACTGTGTTTTTTCAAAGTGACATTAAAAATAAAGTCAATACGGGTTAGAGATGTTGCACAATGGAGCAGCATCTCCCTAGCATGAGCAAGGCCTTTAGGTATGATTCCCCAACATCAAAAATAAATGATAATAAAATGGCACAAAACATCTTGCTCCAGTTTAGATTAGCCTCCAGCATACACAAGACAATACAGAAGCGAGCACAATTATTAACAATGATACCTAAGAAATAGTCTATCTGGGGCTGGAGGGATGGTTCAGAGTTTCAGAGTGCCTGCTGCTCTTGCATAGTATCTGAGTTTGGCTCACAACCCCCTGTAACTCCAAGGGATCTGATGCCCCAGCTTCAATGTGCACCCAAGTACACAACCCCTACACACAAATACATATAATTAAAAATAAAATAAATCTTAAAAAAAAAACAACAACAACAACAACAACAACCACCAACAACCTACTCACCTGATCTTTCTTCTTCAGTTCTTCAACTTGTCGGAGCTGTTCGGAAGTCAGCACGATCTCCATCCGCTGCATGTCTCTCATCAGCAAACGCTGGGACTCCAGAAACTGGTCATTGGCCTTCTGCCATGTGTGTTTTAACTGGTTGTGTTGTTGTCGTTCTTGCTCCAGGAGATGGCAAACTGTTTAGGAGCCCCCCAATCAAAAACACTGCATTTTAATGGTAGGCAACTTCTTTAGCACAGGACTCCTACAGGTCTGGCCAGCATTCTATTCTGTGAGTTTGCCTCTTGACTGACACCAACAAGCAACCTACACCTGAATATGATGACTGTTCCCACCAACCTCTAAAGCAGAGTCCCCAACTGTGCCCTAAGGAACAGACAAACAACTTCTGCACTTCGTAAGTTTTAGAAAACCTGAATTAAATAAAAAATGTTAGTGTTTCTTGACTGTAGGACATAGAGCTTAAGAGTTTAATTATCACTATGTTCTCCTGGGACACAACACAATACACCACACACAAACCTAATATTGAGAAAATATAATATTGTTTTAAAAATCTTCAAAGGCGCCGGGCCGTGGTGGCGCACACCTTTAATCCCAGCACTTGGGAGGCAGAGGCAGGCGGATCTTTGTGAGTTCGAGGCCAGCCTGGTCTAGAGAGCGAGATCCAGGAAAGGCGCAAAGCTGCACAAAGAAACCCTGTCTCGAAAAACCTTAAAAAAAAAAAAAAAAAAAAAAAAAAAAAATCTTCAAAGGCTCATTTACATCCCACCTGATAAAGCCTGACCTCTAAAGTATAAAGTCTCCATGACCTGGCCCATGTCCACTAGTCCAGTACCATATCTGTCCATTTTCTCTTGCATACTAATTTGCTGAACTACGGGGGTGGGGGGTGGGGGGTGGATTCACTGTGTAGCCCAAGAACATAGAAGCTTCTTTCCACTTCTGGTGTGCTAGGGTTCTAGGTGTGTGCCATCACACCTGCTGGCCCACTTTGCTTATACTCCCTTAGCTGCACACATAGGCCTGTGTTCCATGTTTCAAAAAACACTTAAGCTAGGCGGTGGTGCACGCCTTTAATCCCAGCACTGAGAGGCAGAGGCAGGCGGATCTCTGTGAGTTCAAGGCCAGCCTGGGCTACAGAGTGAGTTCCAAGAAAGGCGCAAAGCTACACAGAGAAACCCTGTCTCAAAAAACAAAAAACAAAAACACTTAAAACTTGACTTTAGAAAAAACAACACCAAAAAATATTTAAAATGAGTTTTAAAAGCACCATTTGAGCATAACTTCTTTCAGCTGGATATAGTAGTCTGAGTACAAGCTAATGAGGGGCTTGAGAGTTCAAGAACAGCCTGGGCAACCTCTGCCTCCAAAAATGTTTTTTAAAAAAATTTTTTTAAATACTTTTTTGTTTTGTTTTGGTTTGGTTTGGTTTTTCAAGACAGGGTTTCTCTATTTATCCTTGGCTGTCTTAGAACTCACTCTGTAGACCAGGCTAGCCTCCAACTCAGAGATCCACCTGCCTCTGCCTCCCAAGAGCTAGTATCAAAGGTGTACACCACCACTGCCTGGTTTGTTTGATTTTTAAAGAAACCTATCTAAAGGACAAAAAGAACTGGCCACTCTTTGTCAGTAGTACTGCCCCATCTCAACCCACTTCCCAGGAGGGCAGCTGTATGGTGGCTCTAACCAGCAGCTGCCTAGCTATGACTACATTCCTAATGACCAGGCTCTAACCAGCAGCTGCCTAGCTATGACTGCATCCCTAATGACCAGGTTAGACAATAACCTGCTGGTAGACTGTTACATTGCTTCTCAATTTTTATCTTTTCTTTTAAAGATTCTATTATTTTTTTCTTTTATTTCTTATTACATTTTTAATTAGTTATTTTGTGTGTGTGGTTGTGTGTATGTGGAGGTCAGGGGACAACTTACAGAAGTTAGTTTTCTCCTCCTACCATGGAGATCCTGGGGATTAAATGTAGGTCATCAGACTTGGCCACAGAGACATCTCAACCACTGCAAGACACTTTTTTGATGTGTTATGTGTCAGTACTGGAGTTTTTGTTTTGTTTTAATTACTTGTTTTTTAAAGCTAAGGACCAAATCTAGGACATTGTGCTTGCTAGGCAAGTGCTCTACCACCAAACTAAGTCCCCAATCACCAGAAATTATTTTACTTCCTCATTTTAATGGACCTTTTGATATTTTCTCATATATATTAGGAAGGTTTGATAACCTCAATGACTTACACTATTTTTAGAAGGGTTAGGACACAAATTTTAAATTTAAATAACTTGATAACTTTAATTTTAATCAAACTGAAACGTCTTTTGGACACCCACTGACAGTATAGGTGTCTTTCTGATTCCAACAGCACACGTAAAAACTGTTTCCTGAAGGTCAAGACCTGCTTAAAGGTTGGGATATTTTCACAACATTTTATGTAGTAATTCTTTAGGCATGTATTTCAGTTTTCAACTATCTGGAGAGGAAAGCTAGATCATATATAATCCTATATATTGTTCACATCTCTATTTTCCACAGCATTTGATAAAAGTATCCACTATAGGATTCTACCACTACAGACTACATCCTAAACACTAAAATATGTTTCCAGTAAGATTTCAATTTGTATAAGAAAAAAATAAATAAATAAGAGGAGGCTGGGGCTATAGCCTAGGAGTGCTTGCCTCTCTCTTTTTTAAAAGTTACAACTTTATTTTCACTATCCCCTAGCTGGATTTCATTTCCTTCTATTGTACTATTGTGAAATGTTGCCAACGAACCACAGGAGCATAACAATACCCACAACCATTTCCAACAGAAATTACACCTGTTTTCATGTTTCAGTATGGTTGCTACAGGTGTCTTCTGGGGATGTGGGGGAATGGGGTCTCTATCCTGAGCTGGATTCCAACTTGATAAGTGGCAACTAAAGATGACCTCGAACTCCTGGCTCTCCTGGCTCTAGGTCCAAGTGGATCACAGGTATGTGCTGCCAGTCTCAATCTTTACTCACTTACACTCATTGTGACCTCAGAATTGCAGTTGCTACATGTGTTGCTCTATCTTGCTATCTGATGTGTTAAGGAAACAGCAGTTATCACTCTATCCCAAGTATTCAATTTTATAGTGGTTTTTTTCTTTTGGTTTGTTTTGGAGAAATTTGTTTGCCTCCTTTTTTTTTTTTTTTTTTTTTTGTTGGTTTTTCGAGACAGGGTTTCTCTGTAGTTTTGCGCCTTTCCTGGAACTCACTTTGTAGACCAGGCTGGCCTCGAACTCACAGAGATCCTCCTGCCTCTGCCTCCCGAGTGCTGGGATTAAAGGTGTGCGCCACCATCGCCCGGCTGTTTGCCTCCTTTTTTAATGTTTTGTTTTGTTTTTAAAAGAGAGGCCCAGAATTTGAAAGAGAACAAGACTTATGGGAGGGTTCATTTGGAGGAAGAAATGGAAGGGGAAAATGATGCAATTATATTATGATCTCAAAAAATAAAATGATTTTTGAAAGTATTTCACTTTTAATTTTCAATTATGCATATATGAGGGGGGTATGATTATATGCACACAAGTAGAGGTACCTGCAGAGGTCTGAACAGGACACTGGATACCCCAGAGCAGGCATTAGTGTTATAGGTAATTGTGAGTTGCCCACCAAATCTCTGCAAGATGTCCTCTATAAGAATAGCAGTGCTCACTGGGCAGTTGTGGAGCACACCTTTAATCTCAGCAAAGGCAGGTGGATTTCTGTGAGTTTGAGACCAGCCTGGTCTACAGAGTGAGTTCCAGGACAGCCAGGGTTACACAGTGAAACCCTGTCTAGAAAAAAAAAAAAAAAAAGAATAGTAGTGCTATTAACTGCTGACCTATCTCTCCAATCTATATTTGTTTGTTTTGGTTTGGTTTTGGTTTTGTGGTTTTTTTTCTTTTTTGAGACAGAGTCTTACTGGTCTCAAACTCATAATCCCTTGGCTTCAGCTTCTCAAGTGTTAAGATTAAAGGTGTAAACCACCACACACAGGCCCAGCTGCTTTTTAATTTTTTTTTTTTTTTTAATTTGTGGAAATACAGAGTTCACTTGTACATCACATTGCTACTTCAATAGTGAAATCAAAACTGGCCTGTAGAAAGCAGGATACTACGCGAGGCCCTCTCTACCCAACTCTCACTTTTGCTAATTTACTTCTCTCTGAATGATTATGCAGACTACAGCACTTTAAGCAGAAAACGTCTAACTTCATTACCTTTCTGTCCTGAGCTCATGCCTTGTGAAGTTATTACTGTGCTGGTGGTGGAAGAAGCTCCTCACAATCCAAATTCCCTTAGCAGTTTTCACAAGAGCTTTCAAACTGACGATAAAGCTTAAACTGAATCACTAGCATGCTGCTTTGGTGGCTTTGGGTTTGTTGTTGTTACTAATCAATATAAATTTTACTTTGGAATTTCTCTTGGAATAAAGTAAAAATATACACAACATATTATTTACCTTCATGCAATTCTTTCCTCAATTTCTCAGCATCTTCCTGTAGAACAGATTTCTGAGTGTTCAAAACAGCTACATACATCTCCAGATCAGTCCTACAAGACTTCTCGGCCTCCAGATAATGATTCAGCTCCTTAACCTGAAAGAAGTACAAAACTCAACTTTACAACCATAGTAGGAATGGCAAATAAAGTATCAGCGGCTGTATTTTAAACTTTAAAATATGATACAAATTTAGAAAATAACAGAACAGATGCTAGCCATAATTCTATCTCTTAGGTAAATATATAATTGAGATTATATGTAATGATTTTATACCATGTTTTTCAAAAAGGTACTTCTAATTTGTATTTCCATAGCAATGCATGTATATACTTGTTTGTTCTCCTTTTCAGCAACACAGATATGATTTGTTTATGTGTGTGCATGCACATATGTGCATATTTAGGTGGAAGTGCACATATATGCATGGGTGCACAAATATGTGTAAATCCCACAACTACAGGTGTCATTCCTCAGGCACCAGCCTCGTGAGGTTTGGTTTTGTTTTTTGAGATAGGGTCTGTCACTGACCTGGAACTTACCTAGTAGGTTATGGTGGCTAGCTAGTAGGCCCCAAGTATCTGCCTGTCTTCACCTCTCTTATGCTATGATTACAAACACATCTACCATGCCCTTTCTTTTCCCCTATAGGTTCCAAGGATTGAAGTCTAACCCATTACCTCTTCCCAGCCATCCCGCCCCCACCTTTTAGATAAGATAAAAATGGCATAATGTTCTTTTAACTCTTTTAAACATTTATTTATTGTTTGTTCGTTATGCATCCAGTGTTCTGCCTGTATGTATGCCTGCACACCAGAAGAGGGCACCAGATCTCATTATAGACAGCTTAAGCTAGCACATGGTTGCTAGAACTGAACTCAGGACCTCTGGAAGAGTAGCCAGTGCTCTTAACCGCTGAGCCATCTCTCCAGCCCCTCTCTTAACTTCTGATTTCTGGTGAGATGATTCCAAATGTCTTCCATTTATAAAAACAACTCATTTTGATCAATACATATACCCATAGGAATTGAAGAAGAAGTTAGGACATTGAGATGGCTCAGCAGATAAAGGTGCTTGCCACCCAGACTAACGACCTGAGCTTGATCCAGGGAACCCACAGAAGGAATGAGCCAACTGCTGCCAAGTTGTCCTCTGACCTTTACAAGTGCATCATGACCAGTGAAATTTCTTTCAAGAGAGGAAGTCATGATGTACAAAATTACTAGTCTCATCATAATCACACACACTTGAAGGCAAGTGCAGAAAAAAATTTAAATCCTGTCTTTTCATAATATATTTTCTGAGACTAGTAACCAAAATAAAATTCAATACTACCAAAACAATGCAGGACAAAAGTATCATTTATTTTATTTGATTTTTATTTTTTATCTTGACATGTAAACTGTCTATCCTAAACTTAGTATTTATGGGTAACTTTCAGTTTTTTCAAATGGTTACACCTAGTTTCAAATTCCAAGATCTTTCTCATGAACCATCCTACTTTTTCAAGTTTAAAATAGCCAGCTCGAAGGGCAATGGTGGTGCACGCCTTTAATCCCAGCACTGGACAGGCAGAAGCAATTGGATCTGAGATAGAGGCCAGCCTGGTCTCCAGAGTGAGTTCTAGGACAGCCAGGGCTACACAGAGAAACCCTGTCTCGAAAAACAAACAAACAAATAAATAAATAAAGCCAGGTCATATGACCTCACAAAGATCTTTATCTTATCTCTAGGATCTAACAATTTAGACCTTATGTACAATAGAGACTAAAATGATCATTTACTGCAATTTAGTGCTTTGCTGAAGCTGACAATAAGTCAGCATGGCAAAGTGCTGAGTGTCATAAGGTGTTTTCTTCAACACCTGTTACCAGGTGACAGTAACAGTCAATTCAGCAGTTATAACAAGGATGGCTTATAACCACAGACTTTGTACTACATATCACCTCTTAATAAACTCCTCTTTGAATTAAAAAGATGATGAATTTCTAACACCTAACAAAAGTTATTACTAACTCTAGGATGGCGCTCAAGTAGCAGCACAGCATATGAACATCTTGAATTCCACATTCCCTAACAGCCCAATTCAGAACCATTCGGAGGACCTGGCATAATGGTACACACTTTTAATCCCACCACTCTCAAAGCAAAGGCATGTGGATCGATGTAGCATGAATCTTAAAAGTTCTTATTAATAAAAACAAACCTGGAGCTGGGTATTGGGGTGAATGCTGGAAGATCAGAGAAGCAGAACAAGACACAGCTACCTCAACTCTCCAGTTCCTCAGCTGATCCTGTTTCCTCAGACTGGAAGCCTCTGAGTCCTCATCAGAATGGGTCTCAGCTGAACTGCTGCTCAAAAGCCTAAAAGCTTAACCAGCCAAATGCTTCTAGTTTCTGGTCTTCACACCTTATATATCTTTCTGCCTTCTACCATCACTCCCTGGGATTAAAGGCTCACTTCATGGGATTAAAGGCGTGTGTCACCATGCCTGGCTGTTTCCAATGTGGCCTTGAACTCACAGATCCAGAGGGATTTCTGTCTCTGGAATGCTAGGATTAAAGGCGTGTGCTACCACTGCCTATCCTCTATGTTTAATATTGTGGCTGTTCTCTTCTCTGACCCCAGATAAGTTTATTAGCGTGCACAATATTTTGGGGAACACAATACCACCACAGATCTCTGTGAGTTCAAGGCCAGCCTGGTCTACATAGCAAGTTCCAGGACAGCCAGGACTACATAGTGAGACCCTGTCTCAAACACACACAGACACAGACAGATACACGCACGCGCGCGCGCGCACACACACACACACACACACACACACACACACACACATGCACTCAAGCAGGGAGCCAGCTGTGGTTATTCATTCCTATAAGTGCAGCAGCACGCAGGAGGCTAAGACAGGAGTACTGCTCTAAGTTCCAGGTTGCCCTGGGCTACACTGTAAGACACACCCCCACACACATCTCAAAAAAAATTAAAAAAGAAAAGAAAAAAATTACACAAATGGACAGTTATAACATTCCAAACAACAGAGACAGGGTAAGGACAAACTGCGGACACTACCTCTCCAAGAAGAGTAGATGTTATTAGGAGAAAGGGGAAGGAAGCCACGTCAGCTGCAAGCTCTATAACAGTCGACTGAACGTGCCCCACAATGAAAGCTGCTATACCTGTTCGGCACACATGAACCATGAGTGGTTCAAGAGAAACAAATCTGGAAGACTTCAGAGCCTTTTTAGACTAAAATAGAATCCCACTTTTATTTGCATTTCCCTGATTCCTAATATATCTGATTTTTTTTTGGGGGGGGGGGGGGTTCTCCATGTACCCCTGGCTGTCCTACAACTCACAAACTAAACCAGGCTGTCCTCCAACTCAGAGATTCGAATGACTCTACCTCCTTAATCCTGGGATTAAAGATATGCACCACCACACTCAACCTTGAAGATTTTTAAATATATACATATTAATTATCTGCTACCTCCTTTGTGACTGTATATTCATATACTCCAATTGTTTTTCTACTGGACCTCTTTTTTATAGAAGGACTTTGTAGAGTTTTGCTAATTTTGGATAGTAACTTTGTCAAGCATGAGGTACACATTTTTTTTTCTTACAGTGTATAACTTTTCTCTTTAACTTTTTAGATTATCTTTTAACAAGGAAACTTTTTTTAAGATGTATTTATTTATTTATTATGTATACAGTGTTCTGCCTGCACACCAGAAGAGTACACTAGATCTCATTACAGATGGTTGTAAGCCACCATGTGGTTGCTGGGAATTGAACTCATTAACAAGGAAACTTATATCATAATATAACCAAATTTTGAATGCTTCTTCCAGAGTATTTTATCTTATTTTTAAAAACTTAAGGAACATTGTTGCACATGCCTATAATCCCACCATCTGAGAAGGAAGCAAGAGGACGCTGAGTTGGAGGCCAGCCTGAGCTATACAGTGAAAAAGACCTTGTCTCAAAAATATAAAAATTAATTAATTAAAAGATGGGGTGGTACTCAATTCCTTATTGCTGGGATTACAGGTGTGTACTAATCTTTTTCCTATTCTGACTCTCTCTCTATGTTGATTTGCATCATCTTGGACCAAAACACAAAACAAGTAAAGTAAACAAAACCACCTAAACAAAATTACTGAGTACAGTTCTTCAGATAATGTTCCCATCATTAATGTTAAGACTGCTACACATTCTTTCACTATATTTGATGAAGGTTTAATAAGTCTGTATTAAGTCACTGTATACTTAAATTGATCAAAATCTTTTCAAGTCCAACATAAATACATTGTTTTGCAATATCATGTAATACACCAGTTTTCAAATGATACACCATATTTAAATTGTGAGAATATGTGTATATTTTTGGCTGTTACCTAAGGTTTTTTTATATCATCTTCCTGTGTGTTATTTGATTCACTAGTCACATTAGAGAAGCTTCTTCTTCTATTAATTGACACTGTTTGTAAAGGTTTATATAAGGTTTATCACTTTGGTGGGACAAACATGGCTCCAAAACCAACTAAGTCTGATGTCTATTGGGAAGGGGAAGCCAGATAAAGACCGGCTCTGACTCAAGGCTGAGGCTATAGCTCAGTTGGTAGAGGACTTGCCTACCTACCATACAAGACACGGTAGACCACTCTCCAGCACCACATGAACAGAGCACGGTGGCACTTGTCTAAAACCCTAGCATCTGGAAGGTATAGACAGGAGGACCGAATTTCAAGATCACTGTAAGTTAGACAGCAAGTCTTAGGCCATTCTGAGCTGTAAAAGCATGAGAACCTCAGTTCAAATCCCCAGAGTCTAGACAAAAAGCTCGGGATGTACTTGTAAACCCCGCACTGTGGGGATGTGGAGAAAGGAAGTTTACTGGCACTTGCTGGCCCCCAGCCTAGCTCCAGGTTCAAGTGAAAGACCTGATCTCAAGGGACAAAGCAGAGAGTGACAGAACACAACGCTGCACACCTTCCTTTGGCCTCCGTGACCTCCTATGGGCTTGCACACCTGCGCACAAACATCAAACATACATACATACATGTACCACACACCAAAAAAGGATTTTTGGCTCCAGATTCTGTAATGATTACTATTTTAGCTTTTCTATTTTATCTTGAGGAAAACTTGACTAATTACCTGTTATAACAACTTGTTTTGTTTTGTTTTACAAAAAGGCCTCATTAGTTCAGGCTGACCTTGACAGTCGGATCCTCTACCACTGCTTCCCAAGTGCTCGGATTACTAGCATTTACTATGACCAGCAGATTTTTTTTTTCATTTTTTTTTTTCAAATGTACTGGTATGACACTATTTATAGTATCTACTATTTTTATATCAGTAGTCATGCCCCGTTTGATTTCTGATTACCATTTTTTTTCTTTTCATTTTCTGTACAAATTTCTCAACCTTTTTATACTGACATCCTCCTCGGTTCTTTAACTTTCTCCTTCACTAATTTCTAATTCTGTATATCCTTTGATTTGTTTTCACCTTTTACTGTTTTTATTTTCCCTTCAGAGTATAATGTTAAATATTTATATCTGTTGGTTGCCTTTCAGAACTAGATGTTACACTCCCACTGCTGAGACACTAAATGCTTTTTTATAAATTTATACAGAAATCAAGATGGGACTAAGCTAGAAGCTTACTTCCTACAGGCTAGCTTTCAGAATACTGGAAGGTGCTACGTAGGCTGCTGGGAGAAAATTGTCACCAACAGTCTCACTCAGTTGCAGACTCTGGGTATAACACGACCAACCAGCCAAGCAAAATGTACCCATGGCTGGGAGGTCACAGCCCTAGTGGGGAAACTATTAATGTTGTCTGACTAAGTGGACATGACATGACTATCAAACTGCCTTCTAAATGTTTATGTTTATTCCTCTAGAAGAGTGCCACTACTTGCTTCTTGTTGTAACAGGTAGTACTGCACAGACTCATAACTGGGCAAAGCACTGAGAGTAAGTTACTGTTGAATACAATGGGACATCTCTATCTCCCTTCCAAGGCCACCTGCAGAAGAGGGGATAGAAAGAACGTAAGCGCCAGATGAAGTGGTGGAGTGCTGTGAAACACTGTTTTCAGGGCAGGAAGTGGCTGCTGCACAAGACTAGACCCATCACCATTCTGTCATGAAGGGCCTCTCCACCCCAAGGATTTATACAGTTAGTTAGTGGTTCCTGGAAGAGGAAAACTTTTTCTTTAGTGGAACAGCCACTAGTCAATGGTCCCTATTCCTGGAAGTAACCCTAATTAAACTCGCTGAGTCACAAAAACAAAAATCGCATGAAATATTTACACCACCCTAAGTATTTTGTGATTTCTTTTTCCATCAGATTTTTCCCCATCTCTAGACATTTTATTATTTAAAAAAAAATGTGACCAGAGTATTGGGTCTATGATAACATTAATTCTGTGAAATTTAATACTTTATGACCTTATTTTAAAAAGTTAAGATACAGAAGGAAAAGATAAATGTATCACAATATTGAAATACAATATAATGTATCTGGAAATAATAATACTTTTTCCTATGCATTACTCAAAGCATTTATATGTTCTAATTTGAATGTGGTTCATAACACCCTTGTAAGGCAGTCTTTTTTTTTCTTGTTATTGTTGTTTTGTTTTTCAAAACAGGGTTTCTCTGTGTAGCCCTGGCTGGCCTGGAACTCAGAGACCAACCTGCCTCTACCTTATCCATATCTTTTTGGACCCCATCTCCCTCATTATCCTAATTTCACAGCTGAAAAACCAAAGGAGAATAAAAATAAGAAATCTTACTAAGTCATCCAGGCTACTAAACGCTGAGTTTCTGGCTACTGAATAGTTATTATTTCTTTGTATCTACTCTTCTTTTGTTGCCATTTTTTCTGTGTATGTGTGTGCCTGCATAAATTCGTGTACACTATGTACATGCTAGTGTCCACAGACAGCAAAGGACAGTGTCAGACCCCCAGGAACTGGATTACAGATGACTATGAGCTGCCATGTGGGTGCTGGGAACTGACCCTGGGGGTTCTCTGCAGGAGTAGTAAGCACTTTTAACTGATGAGCTATCTCGATAGCACTAATCTACTTTTCCCCCTTAACCTATTTTATGTTATACTTGTTTACATCAGTTTTCTTTTGGTTAGACTTTACACAGTATATTTTTATTTACCCCTTTATTCATTTTTTTGTTTATTAAGACAAGTCTCACTCTGTTGCTTAGGCTAACCTTCAATTCACAGCAATGTCCTTACTTCAGCCTCCTGAGTGTGAGTTACCAGACCTGGTTTATTTCTTTATGTTCAATCTTACCTTGTGTTTAGTTATATGTCTTATAAGAAACACACTGTCTTCTTTTACGTGTGTGTGTGTGTGTGTGTGTGTGTGTGTGTGTGTGTGTGTGTGTGTAGATGAGTGCTACAGTGCGCATGTGGAGGTCAGAGGACCTGTGCACAGGTAAAAAGACAACTAGTAGTAGTCAGCTCTCCTTTTCACCATGTGGGTAGCAGAGATCAAACACAGATCATCAGGCTTGAAGGTAAGTACCTTTATCTACCATGCCATCTTGCTGACTCCATTTTCTTTTAGTACAGAATATCAAACCTAGGCCTTCATTCACACTAGACAAGTGTCAGCATTGTACCACTCAACTACACCTCTAATATCTTTCTTTCATTACTAAAGACTTTTTTCAATGGTGGAGCCCTTGCCTAGCATATGTCAATAAGGCCCTAAATTCAATCTCCAGCACTAAAAACAGTCATAAAAACTGTAACACTAATGTTTCCACTTGTTTTTGTTTGGTTTGGCTTTTTAAAAGTAGCATCCCATGTAATACAAACTGGCCTCAAACTCACTATGGAGCTGAAGATGACCCTGAACTTCATGTCCTCTTGCCACCACATCACAGAGAGTTCCAGACATCAGTCACCATGCCCGTCTTATGCAGTGCTGAGGGCCAAAGTCTAGGCCTTGAGCATGCTAGAGAGGCATGTACCAAGAAGCCACATCCCAGCCATGCTGAGTATATGGTCAGTAGGAGGTGCATCCTGTCTAAAAGATTTCCTAGAACCAGGGTGAGGAAACAAAGTCAACTACAAACAGCTGCTTCTGCGAGGTAAGAAATCCAAGGCTAGGAATGTAGCTCAGCTGTCAGAGTGCTCACCTAAAGCCCTGGATCTGATCCCCAGAGCCTCATAAACTAGGCATGGAATACACAACAAGTTCAAGGCCAGCCTGGGTTACATGAAACCCTGTCTTACAAAAATAAACCAATACGGATGACTTGTTAAAAGAAAAAAGAAAATTGAAGTTGAGTCTCACTTGAATAAAATGGATAACTGAACACAAGTCTTCATTCATGATTAGGCATCACCACTGGAGATTTAAATAACCAAAGGTCAAATTACCACACAGCAGGTTTGTTTTCATTTTGTTTTTTGAATTTTAAACAGAAGACTCCTGAGATAGTTGATGAAATGATTTCCCACCACTACTTCTCAAGGGATTCTAATTTTACTCCTGGCATTGGAGCAGATGGCTAACAGCATTTCACAACCTTTGAGGCCTCCAGCTCTTTAATCTTCTCTTCAGCTTCTGTCAGTTTATCTTTCAAAGCTGCAATTTCCTTCTCCATGGGCATCACGACAGAGCGAAGCTTTTCAGCATCTTCTTGGGCCTATGATTAAAAGGAATTAAATGCAACAACTTACTAACTGAATGTTTTTCTAAGAAACTCTAGTCCACCCATTTGCTAAAAAATAGCATTCATAAAACTGAATACCAATTCTCATTTTATTCAAGTTTTTTCTTTGAATTTTTATTAACATATATTCATTACATTTATAAAATGATGGGCTTCAAAAATATATGTCAGTCCAGTTATCGTGTACTTGAACATACTAACACCAATCACAATCCTCTCATTTCATTCTGCTCACTCATCTGTCTTTTTTCTTGACCCAAACAGTTCCTCCTTGTCTTTTATGAAACACGCACACACCCTAGATTCCATAGATGAAACAGTGTGATATTTGTCTTTCTGAATATAGCTTATTTGTTTAATATGATATTTGGCCCTAGGTTCCTGCAAAAAAAAATATGTGTTCTTCTTTAAGCAGAAGAAAGCTTGTCAACTGTGTGGGCCAGGGACATAACTAAGCACTTAAGAGCATGTACTGCTCTTCCAGAGGACCCACGTTCAGTTCCTACCACCCACATTAGGTAGCTGATAACTGCCTCTAACTCCAGGTCCTAGTGTCAATTCTATTTTTAAATAGTTTATTACAGGCTGGAGAGATGGCTCAGAGCACTGGCTCCTCTTCCAGAGGTCCTGAGTTTAATTCCCAGCAACCACATGGTGGCTCACAACCATCTATAATGAGATCTGGTGCCCTCTTCTGGCCTGCAGGCAGAACACTGTATACATAATAAATCTCTAAAAAATAAAAATAGTTTATTACTGTGAATGACCGGCATAATTATGGTTTTCCCAAATATTTCACTTAGAATTTGGCAGTAAGCAGAAAAACAGATTCACTGTAACATATCTGATACCTTCATTGAGCAACTAGTCAAAAAAAATCTCATATATAAATGGCAGAATCAAGAGCTGGGTGTGGTGGTGTACCCTCAGGAGGCAGAGGTAAGAGGATCCCCTCAAGTGTAGCCTACTCATGTCTACATATCAGATCCAACCCAGCCAGAGCTACAGAGTGATTCTGACTCAAAGAGCAAAAACAAACACCTTTAGTCCCAGAACTCAGGAGGCAGAAGCAAGTAGAGCTTTGTGAGTTTGAAGCCAGCCTGGTCACCATAGCAAATTCTAGGCTGTCTAGATTGTGGGGACAAAATAAATAAGTAAACAAAAAGAATTAAAAACTCAGAAAGTTGGGGCTCCTACTAATGAAAATTAACTTTACCTAATGTAAACAAGCTCAAATGTATCCTAAATTGTTCAGAATAGAGAAACAAGATATACTGACCAGTGTGAAGAATATTACACCCCCTCACAGACACAGACACACAAAAGGAATTTAACAGGCTTTCAAATTCACTTTGTTTCCTGATCCTTACAAAACCTATTTTGTGTTGAACTAAATTCTGTTTGGAAAAGACATGTTAGCCTAAAACATCTTCACAGTCAAGGCTTGTTTGGGATGCTTACTGCAGAAAGGGAAGGAAGAAAAGAATTTACCATATTTACTAATGCAAAAGACCTCATAATTTCCAGTGCTGGGTATCATATAAACAAACGTTTAAAGAGTCAATTAAAAGTAGTAGTAAGTGTAACCAGTGAGATGGCCCAGTGGGTAAAAGCACTAGCTGTGCATGCCTGTTGATTGGAGTTCAAACTCTGAAATCCACAGTGGAAAGAGAGAACTGACTCCCTAAAGTTGCTCTCTGACCTCCACATACACATCTGGACACGTGCACCACATTATGTACACATATAATAATAATAAAGAGATAGAAAGGTCATTAAATTAAAAAATAAAAATTGAAAAGCTGTTACAGTCAAGCCAAGCCTACAACTGTGTGACTGCATGACTAAATGCAGTGTTGTTTCTTGGATGGAAGTCTCAAACAGGAAGGAGAAAAGGATATAGGGGACACTGGCTGAAAATCGATACAATCTGAATACAGAGAACAAACCTTTGTTAATGATGAGCTGGTATTAGTTTGTTAACTCTAACAAGTGTAACACACTACATGGTTAAAATGTTAAAGAAAACTGAGCTGGGTGGTGGTGGTGGTGGTGGTGGTGGTGGTGGTGGTGGTGGTGGTGGTGGTGGTGCACACCTTTGATCCCAACACTGGAGAGGCAGAGGCAGGCAGATCAGAGTGAGTTCCAGGAAAGGCTCCAAATCTACACAGAGAAACCCTGTCTCAAAAAAACCAAAAAAGTTCAGAAAACTGAGTATGGAGCATACTGAAAAACAATACAATATTCATAAATTTTTATACTTAAAAAAAATTCTTAAAAAGTAATAGGTGAGCTGGGTGGTGGGTGGTGCACACCTTTAATCCCAGCACTCAGGAGGCAGAGGCAGGCAGATCTCTGTGAGTTTGAGGCTAGCCTGGTCTATAGAGCTAGCTCCAAGACAACCAGGGCAGTTACAGAGAAACCCTGTCTTTAAAAAACCAAAAACAAACAAAACCCTAATTGGGGCTGGAAAGATGGCTCATGTATTGTTCTTGTAGTGATCCAAATTTGTTTGATTCCCAACACCCATGTCAGGCAGCTCATACCACCTGTAAACCTAGTCTAGCTCCAGGGAATCTGACACCTCAGGCTTCCAGGGCACCTGAATTCATAAGCATGAATCCTACAGAGTCCCATATACAAACAATAAAAATTAAATAACTAATAAAGTTCATGGAGGGCCTAGGAGATGACTCAGTCGGTACAGTGCTCACTGCACAAGCACGAGGGCCTCGGTCTGGAGCCATGCAGAAAGCCAAGTGCAGCCGCATGCACCTGTAATGCCAGCTTTGGGAAGTGGGGGTCCTAGGGGTCCACTGGCCGGTCAGTCTAGCCTAAGTAGTGAGCTCCAGGTTCAGTGAAAGACCCTGTCTCAAAAAGTAAGTAACCAATGTGGTGGCACATGTTTTTAATCTCAGCATTTGGGAGGTAGATCTCTGTGAGTTTCAAAGCCAGCCTTGTCTACATAGAGAGTTCCAGGGATGTAGACCAGCCAGGGATGTAGAGACCCTATCTCAAAAAAAGAAAGAAAAATAAAATAAAGTAGATGAAGGAGAGGGATGGGAACTAGGAGTTGGAAATAAATATGACCAAGTTATACTGGATACTGGACACATGTATGAAATTGTCAAAGACTAAATAAAATATGACCAACATATACTGTACACATGTATGAAATTGTCAAAGCCTAAATAAAATATAACTCTTTAGAAATAAAAAAAAAACCAAAGCAGGGCGGTGGTGGCACACGCCTTTAATCCCAGCACTTGTGAGGCAGAGGCAGGCGGATCTCTGTGAGTTCAAGACCAGCCTGGTCTACAGAGCGAGATCCAGGACAGGCACCAAAACTACACAGAGAAACCCTGTCTCGAAAAACGAAAAAAAAAAAAAGAAGATTCAAAAAAATGTAGAGGTAGAACCATAGAGAAAGTCACCTGGCATGCACCTCTAGCATCACATGTGGGCGCGCGCGCACGCACACACACACACACACACACACACACACACACACACACACAAACACACACAATAAAATTTAGTTTTAAAACTAAAACTTTAAAGATGGCAAAGAATAGTGATTGTGGAAATGATTAAATACACACACATTTATATATATATAAAGAATGGAGCAAGGATTTATATAAAGAATAGAACAAGGATTAGTAGCCAAAGATGTTCTCAAGGAGGGTCAGTGAGCTGGCTCAACATAGGCTCCTGCCCTTGAGCCTGATGACTTGAGTCAGTACCTACATGGTGGAAGAAGATAACCAACTTCCAAAAGTTCTCCTCTGACCTCTACACACTTACTGTAGCACACATGTGCACACACATTCACACACAAAATAAATAAATAAATGAAAATTTTTTTAATGTTCTCAATGAGAACATGTTTCTCTCATTTAGTTGCCTGTGTTAAGGCATTGTATGGTATAGTTCAGGCATAATACGTACAGCATTTGTCACACAGAAACCAAGATATGCTTTAAAAAAAATTGGCAAGTATTCTAGAATGTTTAGACACAGTATCAAGCAACATTTCCATCCAACATGAACTCACTGGGCTTCTATATGCTAGACACCACCCTATGTACTTAGTATACACAAATAAAGACTGCATTCTCATGGAGTTAACACTCTAGCAAATGAACAGAAAAAGCAGCAAACAAACACAGTAAAAGCTGAACTGTTTTATGAGGAAATACGCTGTGCAAAAGAAACCCTAAAGCAGGGTACAGAAATCCCGAGAGTCCTGGAAACTTGTGGGAAGAGGCAGGTAGGCTGCAATCTTAACTAGAGAGGTAAGAAAAGCCTCATGAAGAAATGACATCTCATCAAAGATCTGAAGATGGAAAGGCAGTCAGTCACATGTACTGTGGAGGGTACAGGAAAGCACTGACTGGTCCATAAGTACTTCCTCAACAGAAAGAAAGCACAACATTCAACTTCCAGTTCTGCAGCAATGCTTTTAAACAAATTGCTTTTAGTCAAGTAATTCTGTAAGTGAATGTATTCTTGCGTACCTTTTTCATTTCATTTTCTAAATTTTCTTCCTCTTGACCTTCAGACAACCTTCGTCTTAAATCAGCTATTTCCCGCTCTGCAGATTCTCGATACTGTGCCCACTGTGCTCGCTCCTGCTCCAGCCTCAGATGAAACTGATGCTCGTAATCACGAACCGTCTCTATAAAACATCACATAGTCCATGTCTAAGCATCATGGAACAACATCTAGCACACTGAAATTTCTTCAGTTATGTAAAGAGCTTGAGAGAAATTTTTGGAAATAATTTTGGAAAATTCTAGTTCTTATTATGAGTTGAAATAAGGGTTTTACTACTTCATCATCATCATCAGTCTTCATAATAGACTTGCCATATGCTATTTGACAAGAAACCCTAGAGAAGGTTCAAAGTGGGGCTTCCAACTTACATCTAAGACCCACTCCCAAATCCACGTTCTTTGATACTATAATGTGGCTCTCAGAACAAATACATTTCATTATAACTACATGAATGTATAAGGAAATAAAAATTATTTCTGAGATATTTTACTAAAACCTAAGATTCTAAATTGAGAAAAATTCTGTAGCCTTCATGTTTAATACAGTCTTGAAACATCACCTGACAGGCACAACTGGTGGTCCATTAAATTCTACTCCTTTTTTTTTTTTAAGTATTTATTTATTTTTATTTTATGTATATGTTTGAATGTCACCTGCATTTACATACTGCACTATGTGCCTACCTGTTGCCTGTAGAGATCAGGAGAGGATGTCAGAGCCCTGGAACTGCAGTTATAGATGGTTTTGAGCCACCCTGGGGGTGCTAGGAAATGAACCCAGATCCTCTACAAAAGTAACAAGTACTCTTAACTACTGAGCCATCTCTCCAGCCCCAATTTCTGTACCTTCTTCATTACTAACAAGACCAAACTTTGTTAAGGATTTTACAGTGCTCAATATAAATACTCCACTTTCTGGCTGAGTAAATACCTTAGTGGGATAACTTGCCTCACATGTGAATGCCTCTAGATTTGATTCTCCACAGCACAAAACTAAATACCCAGACTTAAAACTACATGTTTCAATTTCTTTTAGTTAAAGGTAACCACATACTTGGTCAACAAAGTATGAGGAAGATACAACATGAAGATTTCTAGAAAAAAATATTTTCTAATGTATATTAGAGGATGTGTAACCATTTCTCAGCCATGAAGCAAAGATAAAATTTTTTTATAATTTATTTCATTATATTTTACATGCATTGGTGTGAGGGTGTCAGATTCCCTTCCCTGGAACTAAGATACAGACAAGTATGAGCCGCCATGGTGTTGCTGGGAACTAAACCCGGGGCCTCTGGAAGGGTAGCCAGTGCTCTTAACCGCTGAGTCATCTCTCCAGCCCTGCAAAGGTGAATTTTTTTTTTTTTGTTTTGTTTTGTTTTGTTTTTCCAGACAGGGTTTCTCTGTGTAGCTTTGCGCCTTTCCTGGATCTCGCTCTGTAGACCAGGTTGGCCTCGAACTCACAAAGATCCGCCTGCCTCTGCCTTCCAAGTGCTGGGATTAAAGGCGTGCGCCACCACCGCCCGGCAAAGGTGAAATTTTTAAAGATCATGGTAACTATATAGAAGCAGACAGCCAGAAAAGTCCAGGATATGGGTGGGGTCACAGAACTGTTATGACCACTCCTAGCTTACCTAGAGATGGATTTGATTTCTATGAGAAAAAGGAACTCCTGCATAGGTAAACCAACATAGTCAGACTATTACATGAGACCAGATTATCACTTAGTAAGAGCTACAGAGTCAGAAACAGAGGTACCCTTAATTGCATCCTCTCAAAGAACATTATGTAAAACATGGGACACAAATGCAAAGACCCCCAGGCACAGGGCAGCTGCCATCAGTTCACATTTGTAAATATTAACTAATCCCAGGATCTCAGAGATTAAGGTAACACCTTATTTCATTTTGTTACCATTCTCAAGAATGAAAGCAGTACTGAGGCATTCATGCTGAAAGGAAAGAGGCTACACACACTATTACAATTCCTTCAGACCAAGGGTCACAAACTGGCATTCCATAAAGCCCATTTTAGCCATACAGATACTCTTGCCCATCAAACAAAGATTTCACATACAAGAATACACTACACTTAAAAATCTATACAAATAAAAATCCAGGTTTAAACCCTGCTTTAAATCTTGCAAGTAACTACAACCTTCATTTAATACATTATCTCTCTAACACTCTAAGTCTTTATTATTAGATCTGTCGAAGACACTGGTGATGTGCCCATTACAATTCCCCTGACTTTCCTTTCATCTGACATCTGGAAGATGACAGTCCATAAAGCCAAAAATGAACACAAAATGCATTTTAAGGCCATCTGAAAATGGTGTCAAGAATCGGAATTTGATCTTAAAAAGTCTAAAATCTGGTCTTTTCTTACCTTTCATTACAGCCTGAAGTGAAGCAACTTCTTCTCTCCACTGCCTTTTAACTTCATCTATAGCTTCTTGCTTAGTATTCTCAGAGACTGTGGCAATTGCCTTAATGTTCTCCATCTCTGCCTGAGCCTCCCACAGCTGTGTCCGAAGGTGACCCAAATCATCCTGTGCCGCTTGCAATACTGCATTTTGCCTCTTCAGATCCTCTGGGGAAAAAGTAAAAGATTTTCCATTAATGTGTAGTTCACTTTATCAGACTTCAAAAGAAATGATGAAACTGGATATTAAAATGCTAGTATAGATTATGAAGCTATTTAAATAGAAATATAAAGTGTGCTGGATTTCAAACAATAAAGTTTTACAAGTTGAGTTCCAGGACAGCCAGAGCTATTACAGAGAAACCATGTCTCAAAAAACAAAAAAAATAAATAAAATATTAAAACTAGATAATAACACACCAGGAAAGGTCACAGTTTTGATGCCATATTTAGGCTTTTCCTGCTCACTAAATAGACATAATCAAAAATTTTTTTCATTTATTTTTATGTGTATGAGTGTTTTAACTACACATATATCTGTGCATCACATGTGTGCCTGGTGCCCTGGGACATCAGGAGAATGCATCTGATTCCCAGGATTGCAGTTAGACAGTTGTGAACTGACATGTGGGTGCTGGGAACTGAACACAGGACCTCTGGAACAGTCAGGGCTCTTAAGCACTGAGCCATCTTTCCAGCCCCAATAAATTCTCTAACTACTCTGGTGTAAGTGTCCAAATCTACAAAATGGAGATTAAAGATGGCCACTCCACAGGGCTGTTAAAATGATAAAATGATGCATTATAAACGCCTGTACACACAGTAACTTTCAAAGAGTAAGCCTTCAAGACATACTTAGTGGAAGAAAGCCAGACTGCACAGTAATTAGAGTTGATAAAACCATGATTACTTTCTCACTCTTAATAATCTCTTAAATATTAAGTTGATATCACATGTACACCACATGCCTTAAGCTAGATAGAACATATCATGGTCATGACTTCCAAAAAAGATGGCAGTGTTGTGAAGGAATGCAGTTTAGTGGTACAGCACTTGCCTGGCATGTACAAGGCCCTGGGTTTTGGTCCCTACCACTGCAAAGAAAACAAGGATAAGCCTATTATCCCTCTATAGAGATGCGTCTATTTTCTCTTACTGCCAACTCTCACTATTCTCTCCACTAAAAATAAACAAACAAACAAAAAAAAAAAAAACTCATGACTATCATGAACACAAATGGTCAACTTTTAAATCTATACTTTCTTATTTATAAGGAGTTTGAGTATGTACTCTACATTGATCAGTGACCAGAACTTTCTGAGATTTCCCTCCCTCACAGTCTCTCACTATAACATAAAATGGCTACAAACTCTCAATCCTTCTGCCTCAGCCTCCTTAGTAACAGGATTTCAGGTGCCCATCACCATATTCTGTTTATCTATTTCTAACGCAAAGTTTTCCTTCTGATTTAGGAAGAGCATTGTGATGGTAATCTTCACTATTGATTAGATAAACAAGTCACCCAGGAAGAAAACCTATGGTCATGTTCAACTGAACTGAACTGAACTGAGAGGTTTAACTGAACAAGGAAGGGTCCACCTGAGCGTGGGTTAACACCCTATGGGGTGGGGTCCTGGACTAAATAAAAAAAAATGTAAGCCAAGCATCAGCTAAAGCATCAGTAAAAAGCTGCCTCAAGTGTTCTCCATGGCCAGCTGAAACTTGTAACAATATCAGATAATAAAGTACAGTTAACTGAAGTAATTAATTTTAACATAGCAAGTTTTCTTGTTTTGTTTTGTTTTTGTGGTTTTTCATTCACCTGGCTCTGTTTTCCTGACTGCAGATCCAATGTGACCATGCCTTCCCTAACATATGTCTACTGTATCTCCTCCAACCACACCAGGGATTTTGTCATAACAACAAGAAAACTAATACACAAAAGTACCAGAAGTGGGTGAGCTGCTGTGAGAAACCTGACCACATGGTTCACAGGTTTGAAACTGGCTCATAGCAGGAATATGGAAGAACTTTGGAGTTACAGAATAGAGAAGACTCAGAATGCTGTAAACAGAGTTAACTGGCTCATTCTGGTGGGAGTGTAGAAAACCAGAATCCAACAGAAAGGTATATAGTAAAGACAGTATTCATGAAGTTTGGAGTAGTCATGCTTGGGTTAAAAACCATTTTTAAGACGGTAATGTTGATGGTCGAGCGGTGGTGGCCCACGCCTTTAATCCCAGCACTCAGGAGGCAGAGGCAGGCGGATCTCTGTGAGTTCGAGGCCAGCCTGGTCTACAGAGCGAGATCAAGGACTGGCACAAAGCTACACAGAGAAACCCTGTCTCAAAAAAAAAAAAAAAAAAAAAAAAAAAGAGAGAGAGAGAGAGAGAAAGTAATGTTGAATCCAGCCACTGTTAGGCCACATCCCTATAGCAGCCTTTTCTCTCTCACAGACACTAAAAGGTACCCTTACTGAGACACTGAATCCCTAGCTAGAGCCAGGACCTCTCAACTGGGAAACTGAGTTTACATCAAAGCAGGTATTGGTGCTCACACCTCCTGCTCCCTACCCCCTTCCCTGACTCGTGGGAAAAAGAATAAAAATGAAAATAAGGCTGTGAGCTAGTACTGTAAACACCCCAATTCCCCACATACTCAGAAAGGTACAAGGAGAGACTTCCACTTCTGTCACAGGTACACACTAGGAATCCTCTCTTCAAAGACCCTGCAATGGTGTCTGTCTCTGGTGCTAGGGCCTCAACTCTCCTTGGAGACCCAACTATGTGTTAATAACTTTTCTAATTAACTCTTTACTACTCAGTAATCCATCTTGGTGTTCTTTTTGACATTCCCAAAAAAAACTTCCCAGATACTCATACTATGTCCTAGTAAAAATCCTAACCCTAATATCCTCAAACCTCTTCTACCAGAAGCATTCCCCTTTCTGTTTTTGGGTCATTTTACATAGTTTTTGTATGAAAAAGTACACAACACTTTTGTCTTTTTTCTTCCCTCACTTATCTCTTAAACCCTTTCCATCACTGATTCTTAAACTTCTTCCTTCTCCCTCACGGTCTTCTACTGCCAAGTCATATATATCACATAAACACACACACCCCACATGAGAGACAAGCTGATACTTTTCTGAGCAAGGATGTTTTATAGGTGCCCTTTATCAAACTGGCAAGATTCCTTCTGTTTCTAGTTTAGTGTTTTTAATCCTGAACAGGTGTGCAGTTTTACAAATTCTCCTTTATCGACTGAGAAGTTTGTGTGCTTTGGTTTTTATCTTTTGTTTTTTGAGACTGGTCTCTCTACTACTTTAGTTTGAATAGGTATGACCCCCTTAGACTCATGTGTTTGAATGCTTGGCCCATAGGAAATGTGGCCTTGTTGGAGGAAGTGTGTCACTGTCAGGGCACACTTTGAGGTCTCATATGTTCAAGCTGCCCAGTGTGCCAGCAGATCGAGATGTAGAACTCTCAGCTCCTTCTCCAGTACCATGCCTGCCTGCAATCTGCCATGTCCTATGTCCTACCATGATGCTAATGGACTGAACCTCTGAAACTGTCAGCAAGCCCCAATTAAATGTTTTCCTTTATAAGAGTTGCTGTGGTCATGGTGTCTCTTCACAGCAATAGGAACCCTAACTAAGACAACTGTGTAAGCTCTGGCTATCCTGGAACTCTCTCTATATAGAACAGGCTGGCCTCAAAAATCACAGAGACCCAATTGCCTCTGCCTTCAGAGTGCCGTTGATTAAAGGCAGGCACCGCTATGCCCAGCCTGGTTTCTATCCTACTGACTGTAATGTATATTATAATGATTGCAATTCTAGGATGAGGTCCAATTGGTTACAATCTTATTATCTCACACTGTTTGATTTTCAAGCTTAATGAGGATTTAGACATCTGTATTTCTTTTTTGTTTGTTTTTCGAGACAGGGTTTCTCTGTGTAGCTTTGCGCCTTTCCTGGAACTCACTCTGTAGCCTCAAACTCACAGAGATCCACCTGGCTCTGCCTCCCAAGTGCTGGGATTAAAGGCGTGCGCCACCACCGCCCGGTGATATCTGTATTTCTAAGGAAAGCATGCATAAAGTTCTTGTGATGTCTTGTTACATCTTTTCTAGGTTTTGTCTGGATAATACTACTTATAGAGTGTCCCTTGCAGTTTATTTTTTATAAAAATTTGGAAAATACCGGTACTAATTCTTCCTTCATATTGAATAATATGAATTATAATCAATATTCAATAACATATATTTTAATATGTTAAATAATAATGGTGAACAATTCTTTAAGCAAACAAAGTTTTTCAAAAGGGGAAAAATTCCCTTTCCTTCATTTTTTAATTTTGTAACTAATTTTTTTTATTTTATTTTGTTGTACTGTCTATGAGGACCTCTGGTAAAATAATAAAGTACTGACAACAGAATACAGAAGTTCCTCAAAAAACTAAAAGTAGAACTATTATGCACTCTAGCTATACCAGGCTTCCTGCTTGAGGCTCCCAAATGCTTGGCTTGGTTTTTGTTTAATTTTCTCCATGTTTTTATTAACAAATATTAATTGTACATGAATTATGCATAATGAATTTCACATTTTCATACATGCATATAATTCTGATCATATCCCCTCCCACTCCAATCACCTTCCTCTTCCCAATCATTTATTTCCCTTTCTACTTTTGTCTTTATTTCTTTCTTTGTTTTTGTGATCCAATAACTTTAATTTTGTCTGTTTATTAGTTTCTTCCAGAATATTTTTTAGTATTATTTTTATTTTGTGTATATATATATATATATTTGCCTACATGTACATATATGCACCAGGTACATGCCTGATGCTAGCAGAGGCAGAAGAGGGCATATATTTGCTGGAACTGGAGTTAAAGACAGTTGTGAGCAGCAATGGGGTGCTTGGAACCCAATCTGGGTCCTCTGCAAGAACAGCAAGTGCTCTCCTCAGCCCAAAAGACATTCAAAACTTTTTTTTTTTTTAACTTTTCTGTAAGTGAATTAGAATAGGTTTTGGGTTTTTTAGTAGTCAAATTTATCAGTTTCTCACCTTTGAATAATTTCTTATGTCCCAAACATTCCATGTTTAGTTCTCTTCTGGCAAACGTAGGTCCTACCATTTACTTCAGTGACTGTGCAGGTGATAA